GCACTAGACCACAAAGTTGGTTTGAACCACAAGGTCGGTGGTTCAAACTCACTAACTGCTCCTTGGAAACCCTATATAGGGTTGAGTTGGAACTGACTCATTGGCACTTAACAATAACAACAACAACAGGCAAACCTCTACATCTTTGAGCCTCAGTTTCCCCATCTCTGAAATGAGGTAAATAAGGAGCTCTGGTAGCATAGTGGTTACGAATTGGGCTATGAACCGCAAGGTCAGCAATTCGAAACTACCAGCCGCTCCACGGGAGAAAGATGAGGCTTTCTACTCCTGTAAAGATTTACAGCCTCGGATACCCTGTTCAGGGTCGCTATGGGTCGGAACTGACTCGACGGCACTTAACAACAACAACCACGAGAGCCTCAAAGAGACTAGGACATGTATCGAGAACCCCTTGCTGAGGAGTTGCCCCTTGTTGTCACCCAGGAGTGGATTACTCTGTAAGCAAGGTAAGCATGCGTTTACTTATGCTTACTTTCGCATGAAAAATTTGAAGCTATTCACCAGAGATCAATAAGTAAGCCCGTGCTTACCTTGCTTACTGGGTATTCCACCCCTGTCGGGGATAGTAAATATGAAGAAATTTGGGGTCCTTAGGAAGGTGTTGTGGTGTTAGGAGAAAGGCAGGTGCATACTTAGAAGCAGGATCTTTGATGTGGTGAAAAGAGAACTGTGAAATTGTTCACTATAGATTAGTAAATTAGCACAAGTAAACCCATTGTTACCTTGCTCATCGGGTAATCTGGCACTGTAACCTTACCTTCATGTGCTTCCAGGTTTATGGGTTTCACTTAGGAACCCCTCAGTCCCCTCCCACATATCTGCCACAGAACAGCAGCCTAATTTGAGAGCCCTTGTGAAACCTGGAGCAGCCCCCTGTTCTAGACAGACCCCAGAATCCCCCAGTTTACAGAGAGGTGATGAGGACTAAACAAGAGATGTGGCAGAGTGTCCTGACCAGAGCCTACAACAGGGAGACCCTCAGTAGAGGTGCCTCTCTGCTCCTGGCAGAAGCCCTTTGAGCCTCTTCCCAGGCTGCCTTCAAACATCTTACCCTTGGGAGCCATAAAATCTAACGGAATGCCTTGCAGCCATAAGAGGTTTCACAGCAACTTTATTCTCCAGGAGAGAGGCGGAACAGCCCCCTCCCTTCTACATGAAGGGAGGGGGCAGTTAGAGGCCTGTTTAATTTAATTTAACGCACTGTGACTTGCCAGGTTGCCCCTGGTAACAGCTTCAGCTGCTGCTTCAGTTACAACCAGAAGGATTTTAAAGCGACAGCCTATGTTAAGGCCAGAATTGCACAGTCTCCAACAGTTTCATCACAAGAGTAGAAGATTAATGCCTAGGCACTATAAGCCTTTGGACTAGATGTGTTTATACCATCAACTCCATTCCATCTCCACTGACCTCATCTGCAGCCCCATAAGCCCTCCTGCAAATGTTACTCTTCAGCAGGATTTAATGAGGGACTATATTTGGGACTGCTCATATAGATGCCGCTTGCTACTTATTTAAAAATGCAATTTCAGTCTTCAAGGTAAGAGATAAAAAAAGAGTTAAAACTGAGGAGTTGTCCCTGCAATTCAGGCATACTGCCACCAGGTGGTGGTATTGTTTACCTAGTGCCAACTGTAACCAAGTGCTTGGGGAATCAAAAGATTGAACAGCGAGCCGAGTGGTTGTGAAACCATCCAGTAATAAGTTCTGATACTAACTAGTGTGTGACCTTGGATACGTTATTTCATCTCTTTAGTCTCTGTGTCCTCAGATACATAAAGGGATTGATCTAGATAGCTGTGTGTTGTAAAAAAAGGCTTGGGGCTAGAACAACCAGTCATGAGTTTCCTTCTTAGCTTGCTCACACACTACCTGTGTGATTTGGAGCACGTGATTTCATTTCCCAGAGCCTGAGTTCAAAATGACTGGGAACTCTGGAGAACCAGGAAGAGTCTTAAGAACCACACTTTACTCTCCAATACTAGAAACCGTGGAAGCGAGAAAGATGCCCCAAATCCCACAGAAGTGCAAAGTGAGAACTCCATTGTGTCACAGGGAAATCAAGTATCTCTCTGGTCATAGATGGGCAAAGCAGACTCCTAGACATCTCTCACCTTGCTTAGCTCTAAGTCAGACTAGGAGAAAGGAACCACAAACTAGGAGAAAAGAGCCAAATATTTGTGAAACACATACCTTAGTCGAGCACTGCCTTACAACTGCAAGGTCAAATAAGGACATAGTCTCTGAGGGGTCACTCCTTTATCAAAGGTCACCCACCTCATCTGGCTAGGCCTGTTGGGCACCAGAACCTTTGCTTTTTGCATTACAATTCCCAGCATCTCCTAAAGCTACTCCTGTTTAGGACACGTTCTTGTCAGGAGCATAAGAGGGAAGGAGGCTATGGTTCTCCACACTGCAACTCAGTTAAGTCAGCCACAAACAGGCACTGGGCCAGAGGTCACAAGATCCTTCTCATATGCAGGCAGAGAGCCAGAAGACCGCATACAAGGTCCTTCAGCTAGCTTGGCCCACAGCAGGTACCTACTTCGTTCCTACAACCCAGATCCTGTGTAGACAAAGCAGGCAGACTCAAATGGCATCTCATCCCAGCCTTTGGCTTTGGTAGATGTTCCCTACTTTAACCTTTGGGGCCTGCTCTCCTCCCTCCAGACAGCCATGTTACATCTAAAGGCCCAATACACAAATTCTCACTGAAGGAATCTAATTATCCCTTTAAGATGATGGGAATGTAAAAACACGTACCACATTTTGGCATTCCCAGCTCTAACTCCTTTCATGGCTCCCCACTGCCTGTGCATGAGGCACAGGTCCTGAGCTGGCATTCAGGTAGCCCTTCTGATCTACCCTTCTGGCACATCTGCCTGCCCTTTATAACCAATGTTCGAGGCACACGGCAGGGCTGCCTGCAGACCCCAACACCCAGGCTGGCTCGTTTCTCGGCTTTTGCACACGATGTCCCCTCTGTCTGAAATGCCTTTTCCACTTGAGTGTTTATTTCCACCTGGGTACTTCCCACCTGTTCTCAAGGTCCCACGTCAGCACTGCCTCCCCTGGATTCCCCTAGCCCTTGGGTTCTTTCACTGTAATGGAGTCTCAGGATCCCCTAAAGGCAGGGCCTACCTTCTTTATCGCCTGTCCCTGTTGCCAACCAGGACCACACAGAGGAGATACTCGCTAAGTATTGACCGAGAAATGTGGTTGGTGGGAGCCCCTTGGGGCCAGTGACTCAGGCCTGGGTTCCAGTAATGCCACTCAGTGGACTGAGACTCTGATTCATCTGAAGGTGACCCATAAGCTCCCTCTCTCCACATACTCCTCAGCAAACATGCAAGCAGCTTCACTTGTTGGTGGCATGAGCTCACACACTCGGTGCTCCACTCTCAGCAGTTCCCACATGTGCCTCTTACTTCTGTTCCTTACTGCAGATCTCTACTCAGGCTGAACCCCCATCCCCAAATCCCACTGACTCCTCCAGACCCACCTTAAATGCCATATCCTCTGTGAGGCTTTGCAGTCTTCTTCTGGCACTTTGTTTATCCCACCCTCAGGGCCTTCACCATACTGTCTCTCACTTTAGTTATTGGCAGGAGCCCCTGGATGGCTCACCTAGCAGCTAAAAGGTTGATGGTTCTAATCTACCCGAGGCATCTTGGAAGAAAGACCTGGTGATCTGCTTCCCAGAGGTCACAGCTTAGAAAACCGTATGGTGCAAGCAGTTCTACTCTGCACACACGGGGTTGCCAGTGAGTCAGAATCTGCTTTAAGGCATCTAACAACAACTTAGTTCTCCGCAACCCAGTCTGGTAAAGGGAGCAGGGTTTGAATCCCACCTTTGACACGCACAGGCTGTGCGACTGTGGACAAGTCACTTTGATTTTCAAAGCCTCAGTATGCTCCTCTTTAAAACGAGGGTACCACCTATCTCATAGGCTTGTTGGGAGGTTGAGATGAAGAATGCCAGTATCCTGGCACATGCAGGTACTTGGTCAGGTTTCATGACTTAAGCCTGGATCTGTTTTCCCAGCCAGGTTAGGAACCAACTTGGGTCTGGGTGTAGGTCCCACTCAGTGCCCCATCCCCACAGCACCCTGAACAGGTACAGGGTTTCACACGATAAGTGCTAAGAAATGTGGCTGCAGTTGAATGCATTCACTTTGGCTGTTGGGAGGTGGGGCGTGGGTGGGAGTGAAGGGATGGGGGTCCCGGGCTGAGGAGGTCACAGTGGGGGTTGGGGGTGAGGACAGAATTGAGCCTGGAGATTAATGACAGGAGATGAATGTTGAGGGAGGAGCTGGGAGTCCGAGGCAAAGCTGCTGATATGCACTGGGGGTTTTATTGGTTTTCATTAAAATTCCTTCCCGAGGCAGGAGCAGCTACTCCCATAAATAACGGCATAAATATTTTATCTGGTGCCCAAGTCGGTCTAAATGTACAGCAAGGTTGGCAAGAATAATAACGGGAAAACAGTTCAGGGGGGGTCCTGGGCTTCAGCTGAACTGCACTCACTTAACATGCCCAAGGGGGCTTTCTCAGAAAGGCAGAGCAGAGGCAGGTGGGCAGTATAGGAGAGAGAGGGTGACCAGTTCAGAAGGGTGGTGGAGTCTAGTGCACAGGTAGGGAGTCAGAGGGAGGGGAGCTTAGCTTGGTCAGGGGAGCAAGAGGGGAGGGATCCAGGGAAGAATATGCATTTCACACCTGCTTTGTGCTAGGCACCTTGCTTGGAGCATTCATGCCCCTTATTTCCCACAATCCTCTGTGGCCAGAGAAGTAAAGTGACTTGCCCAGGGTCACCCAGCCAGCAATGGCAGAGTTAGGACTGGGATCGAATGTGCTTAAGCCAAAGTCTGTGCCCTTCCCACTGCACTTGCTGCCTCTTGGGATTTGGGGGAAAACAAGGGAATCTTCCCACAATGGCTTGAGTACTTTAATAACAACAGCCCGATGGTTCTCTGCTTCTTTAGGTCCCGATGGAAGAGAAGAGGGGCTGGTACTTCACCATGGCAACACTTTTCATCAGGTCAGGCCCTGGGGTTGGGATGGCTGTGCTGCCTGCAGGTTTGGTCTAGAACCCAGGCTGGAGAGTGAGGGAAGAGGTGGCTGACCCCATGTCCCAGGCAAGAGCTTCCTAAGGCCCCCTCCCTGCCAGCAGCCTGGGAGGGGCTTGCAGCAGGCTGGAAGCAGCTTGGAGGGGCTGCAGATCAGCCGTATGCCCTTCTCTGCCCCAGGCTAGATGGCATCTTCCTGGAGCTGGGCAGTGAGGAGCAGAAGCGGCTGCCCGCCTTCAACCGCACACTGGCTCTTCTCCGACAAGTCCTGAAGTCCTCAGACCCCCACCACCGAGGTAAGGGCCTGGGTGAGGGGCAGGAGAGCACCCCTGTCACTACCCTGCTCTCCCCACCCTGAGCACTGCCTCCCTTTTTTTGTGCCTCACACACACTGAACAAGTGAAAACATGCAAGTATAAATCACTGCAGTTGCATGTTTGCAGGTGTGTGTCTGGTGACCTCCATTCTATGGTTAGGAAACTAGAGACTGTTGGACCAGAGTCAAGGAAGGTTTTCCCAAGATCCCACAGCTAGAACAGGGACTAGGACTACAGGAGCTGGTAACAAGTTCTCAATGAGGTAACTGATGTACACGTTAAACACAGAGAAGAGCTCTCAAAATGCATTCATTCATTCATTCACATGCCCCCTCTCTCTTCCCACCTTAGTCTCTCTGTCCCTGGGTCATTCTCAGTGATTTCATTTCACTAGTCCTGGTGTGGCACTGGACTGCTAACCGCAAGATCTGCAGTTCAAACCCACTAGCTGCTCCTCGGAAACAGGATCACTGTGTCAGAACCGAGTCCATGGCACTTAATAACAACAAACCCTTCCTTTAAGAAACCCTGGTAGCACAGCAGTTAACTTCTTGGTTGCTAAGCAAAATGTCTGTGGTTTGAACCCAGCAGTTGCTCTGTGAGAGAAAGATGTGGCAGTTGGCTTCTGTCAAGACAAGAGCCTTGGGAACCCTATGGGACAGTTTTACCCTGTCCTATAGGGTCATGGGGGAGTCCTGATGTGGCGTTGTGGGTTAATGCACCAGACTGTAAATCCGTTTGAACTGCAAGGTCGGTGGTTCAAGCTCACCAGCTGCTCCTCGGAAATCCTATACAGGGTTGCTATGGGTCGGAATCGACTCAATGGCACTTACCAACAACATAAGGTCATGGGAGTCCTGGTGTGGTGCTATGGGCTAATGTGCTGGACTGCAAAGTCGGTTTGAACCGCAAGGTCAGTGGTTCAAACTCACCAGCCACTCCTTGGAAACCCTATAGAGAGTCGCTATGGGTTGGAACCAACTCAACAGCATTAACAACAACAAATAGGTCACGAGTTAGGCTGTTAACCTCAAGGTCAGCAGTTCACACTACCAGCTGTTCTGCAGGAGAAAGATGAGACTTTCTTCTCTCATAAAGATTTACAGCCTCAGAAACCCTATACAGGGTCACCACCACCATAGGGTCACTAAGAGTCCGCGTCAACTTGACAGCAGTGGGTTTGGATTTTTGCGGGGGTGGTGTCCCTTAGTTGTCTTCACACAGACTCACAGTCTTGAGTGGAGCTGGCCCACTCCCTCTTGTGGCTCCCTGCCTCCAACCCTGCTGCTTCCTTGAGACCTTTCCCCCTCCACTTACCCCAGCTCTAGCCTGGTGCTACCTGGGAATGCTGTTGGAGAGACAGCACAGCTTCTCCACCACCCCCATGGGCGTCCACGACTGTGGCTACTCCGGAACTGACCCCCTAGATTGCTTCGGCAAGGTACGTATTACTAGTCACCCCAACTCTACCTGACACCCTGGCCTTCCCTCCCAGAACCCCAGCTATTCTCATCTCTTCCCCAACTGCCATCCCTCATGGTACACCCTGCCCCAATGACCGTGACTCTAAACCTTTCTCTCCATCCTTCCTTCACTAGAACAGTATCATAGTTCCTCTTCGGCTGAGAATCAGTCCACTCCCAATACCATGCAAGCCCATTTTTCTGGCCTCCTCATCTAAGCTGTGCTCCATTTCCAAAATATAACCAGACACTAGCTCTTGTCAGGATTTTGCTCACATTTCCCCCTCTGCACCCCTAATGGCATCGAGTGGGGAAAGGCAGGTTTAGCTGGGGTCCCATTGCCAGTTTGGCCCAATTATAGGGCAAATGGCTTTAAGCAGGTCACTTGGATCTCTGAGCATGGGTTTTCTTATCAGTTCTTTAGTGTTCCATCTACTTGGTGGGTTATTGACCAACTCGAAGTAGGAAGTGGGTGAAACTGTACACTGTAGACTGTAAAGTGCTGTCCAACTCTTATTACTGGCACCTCATTCATCTGGCAGTTTCCACAGAGTTCATGCTTGAAGTCTTTTCTGGAAGTTAAGGGCCTCATGCTATTCATTCACCTGTGTGTTTACCACAGCAGCACATCCCTTAGTGTTTGCTGGTGGCTAGATTAATGAGCAGTTTCTTGACAAAAGATCGCAGATCAGAGCTGATCCAAACATATCTGGTTCATGAGTGTCCTGAGGGTTATGTCCAATTTAACAAGTACACTCTCTTTGCCCCTCTTTGAGAACATACTTTGTGCCGGGGCACAGACAGGAATGGACAGGGTCCCAGCCCTGTAGGAATTCACCTTCTCAGAGGCAGCAGCACACACAGAACAGGCAGTGGTCCGGAAGAGTCTGGGTGATCAGTGCTATCTAAGTATGGGGGACTAGAGGTGGGTCTGGCCCCTTCCCACCTACCCTGGGGAAACGGAGGCTCACTCACTGAGAAGGGTTTGCCTGGGGTCTAGTAGGATTTGCTGGCTGTAACCAGTGAGTCTGGTTGAGTATGGGGGGCACTCTCAGGAGTTGAGTTCAGTTCCATGTCTGAATGCTTTGGCAGGTGGCTACGGAAGAGAAGACAATTGTGGTAACTTGGTTTCATTTAGAGATGGGGTTCCTGTAAGTTACGCTTTGTAGCTGGTCTGGCTAATGACTAGACTCCTCTTACCCTCTTCCCTTGCCCAGGCCATCGAGATTGCTAAAGACCACCCCCTGATCCTGAATCGCCTGGCCAAAATCTTCCACTTCCTAGGAAAGCAGGATATGGCCATTGGAACCTGTAACATGGCGCTCGATGTCCTACGCAATCCGGAGCTCAACTGGCAGGCTTACTGCACAAGGGCTAAGGTACCACACAATCTGCGGTCCCACCTCATCCTGACATCTGGAATCAGAATAAGGGCCAGGGGTCAAGCCCTAGTTTCTGGAGCCCAAAGGTTATGGAACCGTCATGGTGGAAGGGAGCTTTGGAATTATCGAGGCACACAATTTGTGTTCTAGAAGGCTGTTGAATGAAGGAAGGAAGGAGCCGCCTACTCCCTGCAGGAACCCTTTTACAATACCCTGCGCCATGACCCTCCTCCACCCATCCTCTGCTTGACTGGCACCCACATGGAATCACACTGACCTTTTTATTGCTGCCGGACTTGTAGCTAGTCACGTACGCTTCCTAGCCTCCTTCCCCAAATCTGTAAGTGATGGAGAATGACATGTATTTTTAGAGGTTGTCAGAGGTAACATCTACAGCAGTTTCTAGATCGTAGGAGGTGCTTCTGAAAGGCAGTGAGGAACTCTCGTGGCACAAAGGTTAAGCTGTCTAAACTCTCCACTGCTAACTGAGAGGTTGATCATTCAAACCTACCAAGTGGCTCCGTAGAAAACAGATCTGGTGATATGCTCCCATAAAGAGTGCAGCCTAAAAAACCTTATAGGGAAACTGCCCTGTTTCATGGAGTCATTTTGAGTAAGAATCAGTTTGACACCACCTAACACCAGCAGCAACAGAGACTATTATTAGAGGCAGTATAATGTAGTGAATCCAAGTGCTAGCTCTGAATACAGATTTTGCTGTTGTTAGATGTCATCCAGTCAGTACCGACTTACAGCGACCCTATGCACAACATTGCCTGGTCCGGCACCAACCTCACTGTAGTTGCTACGTTTGAGTCCATCACTGCTGCTACCACTATGCCAATCCATCTCATTGGGGGGGTCTTCCTTTTTCTCTCTGACCCTCCATTTTATCAAACATGATATCCTTTTCCAGGGACTGGTCCCTCATGATAATATGCCCAATGTATGAGAGATGAAATCAGCCCTTCCTGGCTTCCAAGGAGCACTCTGGCTGTACTTCTTCCAACACAGATCTCTTTGTTCTTTTGGCAGCCCATGGTACTTTTAATACTCTCCTCCAACACCATAGTTCAAACGCATCAATTCTTTTATGTTCTTCCTTGTTCACTGCCCAACTTTCACATGCATATGAGGTTACTAAAAATACCATGGTCTACCTTAATCCTCAAACTGACATATTTTCTCTTCAACACTTTAAAAAGTCTTGTGCAACAGATTTGCCTAATGCAGTACTTCATTTAATGTCTTGACTGCTGCTTCCATGAGTGTTGATGGTGGATCTGAGCAAAATGAAGTCTTTGACAACTTCAACCTTTTCTCCATTTATCTTGATGTTATTTATTGGTCCAGTGGTGAGGATTTTTGTTTTCTTTATGTTGATGTTCAACCCATATCAAAGGCTGTGGTCTTTGATCTTCATCAGTAACTATTTAAAGTCTTCTTCACTTTCAGGCAAGCAAGGTTGTATCATCTGCATATCGCAGGTTGGTAATGAGCCTTCCTACAATCCATGATTTTCTTCATAAAATCCAGCTTCTCGAATTATTTGCTCAGCACACAGATTGAATAAGTATGTTCAAAGAATACAATCCTGATGCACACCTTTTCTAATTTTAAACCATTCAGTGTTCCCGTGTTCTGCTTGAACAACTGCCTCTTGGTCTATGTACAGGTTCCCCATGAGCACAATTAGGTATTGCAGAATACTCATTCTCTGCAATGTTGTCAATAGTTTGTCATGATCCACACAATTGAAAGCCAATAGTCAATAAAACACAGATAAACATCTTTTTGGTATTCGCTGCTTTCAGCCAAGATCCATCTGACATCAGTAGTGATATCCCTCATTCCATGTCCTCTTCTGAATCTGATTTGAACTTCTGGAAATTATGGTTGCAGCCATTTTTGAATTATCTTTTGCAAAATTTTGCTTGCATGGATATTAATGATATTGTCCAAGGATTTCCACATTCCACTGGGTCACTTCTCTTTGGAATGGGCACAAATATGGGTCTCTTCCAGTCAGTTAGCCATGTAGCTGTCTTCCAAATTTCTTGGCATAGATGAGTGAGTGCCTCCAGTGCAGCATCAGTTTGTTGAAAGATTTCAATTTGTATTCCATCAATTCGTGGAGCCTTGTTCTTTGCCAATGCTTTCCATGCACCTTGGACTTCTCCCTTCAGTATCATTGGCTCTTGAACATATACTACCTCTTGCAATGGATGAACATCGACCATTTCTTTTTGGTACAGTGACTGTGTATTCCTTCCATCTTCTGATGCTTTCTGTATCAATATTTTGACCATAGAAACCTTCAGTATTTCAAGTCAAGGCTTGAATTTTTATTCCATTCCCTCAGCTTGAGGAATGCTGAGCGTGTTCTTCCCTTTTGGTTTTCTAACTACAGGTCTTTACACATTGCATTATAATATTTGACTTTGTCTTCTCGTACTGCTGAAATTTTCTGTTCAGCTTTGTCACCTCCTTATTTCTTCAATTTACTTTAGCATCTCTACCCTGGAGAGCAAATTTCAGAGTCTCTTCTGACTTCTATTTTCATCTTTTTCTTCTTTTCTTAATGATTTTTGCTTTCTTCATGTATGATGTTCTTGATGTCATCCCACAACTCTTCTGGTCTTCAGTCTTTAGTGCCTAATGCATCAAATCTGTTATTCAGATGATCTCTAAATTCAGGTGGAATATGTTCAAGGTCATTATTTTGGTTCTCATGGACCTTTTAAATTTTTCTTCTGCTTGATGGTCTGTTCCACAGTCTGCCCCTGGCCTTGTTTGGGCTGATGATATGGAGCTTTCTACAATATCTTTCCACAGATGTAGTCAATTTGATTTCTGTGTATTCCATCTGGTAAGGCCCCTATGTATAGTCATCTTTTATGTTGTTTAAGAAAATTTTTGCAATGACGAATTCATTGGTTTTGAAAAATTCTGTCATGCGATCTCAAGCATCATTTTTATTTCCAAGGCCATATTTTCCAACTATTGATGCTTCCTCATTGTTTCTAGCCGTTGCATTCCAATTGCCAGTAATTATCGACACATCTTGATTGCATGGTTGTTGTTAGGTGCCATTGAATCAGTACTGACTCATAGCAACCTTATGTACAACAGAACGAAACACTGCCCGATCCTAGGCCAA